GGAGCAGTAGTCGTCGTAGTCCCGGTAGAAGACAACGTGTAATGTATCCCATTTGTGTTCCATCGACCCTTCAAATTTCAGATCCTCTCAGGCGGGAGATTTCTGTTTTGCGTGCTGTCCAAGTAGCGGATGTTGCTGCGGCCGGTAGAGATGCCACAGCCGCCGGTTCGCTTTCATCTTCCGCTTCTTTTTCTTCGCGAAAGTTGTTTAGCGGGGAGAGGGCGACGGCGGCGGGCGGATGGACAGAGGTGGTTCTCGTTTGTGAGAGCTTACCACCATCCTCTCTCGTCGCCAACGTGCTTTCAGAATGCATAAACCAGTTTTCTCCCTCTTTTTGCCACTACCGGCCCGTAGGGCCTGAAGACACGGGCGGAAAGCCACTGGTGCCGCTGCGAGACGAAGACGACCACTAGCATAAGTGTACTGCGTTCGCCTAGGGCTGTTCGAGGCTCAAGGAAGAAACGACCGAACGAACGAACGAACAGCGGACGACGACCGTAGAAAGGGAGACGGCAAGTGAAGGAAAAGTGCAGTTTACTATGGCGTCAATGTATGCCGCAGCTAAAATGTGGTGGGGCTACTAGATTGGCTAAGTTGCAATTTCCACTACATACTCCTTAAGGCAAAGAGGTAAAGGCGTAAAGCGAACGGCACCGTCCTTCCTTGCACTTCTTCGGAAGGCTATCTGTCCAGTGGTGTGCGATGGTCTCAGGAGACCGTGACTAACTAGCGCGCAAAATTGGCTTCGACCTCCTTCAATCAAGGCAGCTCATTTCTCTTTCTCCCATTCGTTGATTCTCTCATCCTTTCCCTCTTTCCCTCCCCTTTCTCCCTCTCACACACACTCAGCTGCATCAATATTTATCCCCATTTCTCGTGTTGGGCAGACAACTCGGCACGATCAGGCTAGTTTTTCTATCCAGCCTCTTTCTATCGTCCATGCTTCTTTTTCTTGATCTATCCTTTGCTGAGTATGGTGCCCTGTCGAGCACTAGAGCTCGCCGTATTCTGTGTCACCGTCGACCTCTTCTATGCTGTCACCCTGTCCTGTCTCTCTGCTCGTTGCAGCTGTTATATTTCTCGGACGGCGAGTCTTATTGATAAGTACATTTATAAACAGAGATTTCTTTTCCTTAAACGTGAGCAGCGTTCTCAAATAGCGCAGGAACGTTCCCTTCTTGTCCCAATTCCCCCTGAGCTCCTGGGTGCAAGCGAAGCTTCGGATAAGAGAATGCTAGAAAAGAAATACACTTGCTGCCGCTTCTGTTCCCAGCCACTACCGCATCTGCGGTAACGCTTTACAGTAAAAAAAAGAAAGATGGAGCACAGAGCTCTTCTTTGTTCAGATGAAAAACCTTATATGTGGCCGGCGGAGTTACCTACGACCGTGGCTATCATCAACGAACTGCTGTCGTCGTCATCATCATTACCGTAGTCCGCGACTTACGTTGCGCCTTGCCGTAAACGAAGCAAGGCTAAGCCGTTCACGTTGGTAATCCGCCCATCAATGAGCTAGTTATAACTTCGTTCTTTCATCGATATGCTTATGCCTATAGTGAGAACACGCCGCCTGTTTAAATTAAGTATCGCAATAGTAATAAACTGAAGTTACTAAAAATTAATGAGCCATTACTTTATGTACTCTTTCTTCATAGTATCACACATGTTGTAGTAAATATGTCAATGGCACAGGTCAAAGTAACGACCCCTCAGATTCACTTAACCGGAGGTTTAGTTTAAGCGGCCATAGCAAGTAATGTTGCTATATTGTATGTTACTAAACCTATTAATCCTGTTTAAGCAACAACAGTTAACATGCGTTTATTGTAGAAGGTAGAACTGTTAATCCTGGCCAGCCAATGCTAAATTTATTTGGTCTCATTGATACGGTATGGCGACCGTTCGATCTTAAGAGCTTGTTCATGTGTTGACTTAGTATTGCTGCTGCCACTGTCAGAGATGGCCAACTGTACCTCCTCGTTAAACTATTTGCACTCATCGATGTCTGAAGAATAACTAGGGGCTTTTTTGCTGCCTCCTGCACTTCAAGAGCATCATATCCCATATCATAACAAGCTTTACCACAGTTAACCGAACAGCTTAGTGTGCGCACTGCATAAATGCTCGCCTAACATCGCAATATTTCGACATGCTGTCGGGTAGCACGTTTAACAGGCCCAGCCGACCAGCCTAGACACTCGCGCCATTGCCCAAACGCAACCTGTTTCCAACCGGCAGCATGTCTCTGGCGTTGTCCCTCGGGATCGCCTGCTTCCTTTTCTACGGCGCCACCGCCTCCGGCCAAGCACAACACAATTATCAACTTTTGACATGAACGCCAACGCGGCGTCTGTGTACAGCGTGAGGCCGCTGCCTTCCTGGCGAAGGGGCCGCAGCATCGGCCGAAAGACTAACAGACAGCCAACAATGCGAACGAGTCCATCTGATCCCTTCAGTTCTCCTGGTTCCATTCCTTTCTCAACGTCAACTCGATGATGAGCTATACGCGATATAGCCGCGTGCTAGGCATTGGCTAGCGAGTGTCGTTCGGTTTACGTGGCACTGTGGATTGTCTACGGGGCAGAGGTGTAGAGGAATGGAGAGAATCGTCGGAAAAACTCAGATCCGCTTCGGGCCTCAGGCAAAAATAATTCTTCGCTTAGCTCCTTTCGTCCAGTACGCTCCGTTCCCTTCTTGCTGACGAACTTCCCTACCTGTAAAACGCAGGAGAATGCCTGCACACCGACCGCATCGTGGCGGTCAGTATGGGGTCTGGTCTACATCAAACAAATGGGACAGTGAGCGGCGCGAAGTGTTAAACGACAGGAACTGAACGAAACGTCAGTGGCACAAAAAAGAGAGGGTCTGCAATCGTTTCGTAGCCAAAGCACAGAGACGGTTGTATGGCGCAGGGTCTAGATGAGTCTGCTTATGATAGGGTGATAGCAGGCCACACGAAGCAGAGCTGGCGGCGGTGTCTTTCAGCTGGGTGTGGGGGCTTTCTTTCCTCCTACCTTATCTCTCAAGACAAAAAGCCAAAACCATGCCTAGGAAGGCAACGTGCACTGAAGGTGTACTAAGGTACAGTACAAAGCAGTCAACGACGGCGACTAGTCGCATCGGGAAGGCAAAAGCTGGAGGAAGAGATGTGAGAGATAGAATGCAAAAAATGAAGAGAGAGCCTTATTGGATTAAAGAACTACTGCGTGTGATGGTTGTATGAGTGAGGCAGGGGCGGACTGGGAGCCTGGACGGCAACGGGGTGGCAAGGGGCAAGAGAAACTTCTCTTTATGTCTGTCCTTCCGTCGCCATTTATCGGTGTTGGGCACACTACTGCTTAAATATGGTCACGTCGACCAAGTTAAACAGTGACTGCTACTGCTGCCACTGGCCAAGACGGCAGCGAGCAAAACAGTCGGAAGAGAAGCAGCAGCGTGCGGAAGCAAAGGCCTCGCAGGGCTTCGGGAGCGGAGGTTTTCTGGGTTGTTGTGGAACTGAATCTAGAGCAAGCGAAAGAGGGACAGATCACATCTCGCATCCTGTCTAACCCGTACTAGAACCCACATTCGGTTGCGGCATCATTGTACTCGCACTAAGGTTTTCGGTTGCCTTCACCCAGTTGCCGCCTCCACTAGCGTCTCTCTTTCCGCCAATCTTTGTCTTCTTTTTCGTCTTTCCTCCCGCTCTCTTCCTTTGTCCTTCTTTCTTTCTCCCTAAGAAGTGTTGTGACCGCGAACAAGGAGCAATTCTGGAAGATAGACAGATGGACAGATAACAACGGCATACCAATGCGCCTTAAGCAACGAGCGAGAAGCACACCAGCGCATCCAGCAGTAATCACCACAGCAGTAGCGGAAACAACGGCAGCAGCAGCGGAAAGGATAGGGTGGAACAACATGGCTCAGGAGCAGCACCGGCAGGAGTCTTTCGACACCAGGCCAGCGACTGGAGACTGGCAAAACAGCAAGTCGGCGACGCAGTGATCTTCCACACCCGAAACTTGATAGCAGTCCTGTGCATCGTCACCATCTTCTCCTTTCCACATCCGTCCCTTTTTTCATGCCATTTTGTTGGCTTCGTCCTTTTTTTGCACGGCAATGTACATTATCCTTTTTCGTTCCCCACAACCTACGCTCCTTTTTGATGTCACTGCACACAGTACGCAGTATAATGACCCAGACACGAGTAGAACCGAGTGGGACGATATCTAGTCACTATACACACAAACTCGAGCGAACCAAAGGAACAAAATCGCTTATGGGCTGAGCGATGCTTGGTCCCTCAAAACGACGTTTCTTACCCATGGCAACTAGCATCAACAACTTTCAGCAGAGGCTGTTCTTGCTTTGGCCTTTCTGTTAGCTTTTCTCGCTTACTCTCTTCTTTTTTCCTTTATATGCTCATTTTGAATTGAGCAGTTGAGCGGCGCGTCAAAATTGGCCAGAAAAATACCAGACAAGCAGTGGATGAAAACGAAAAAAAGAGAAAAATTACTTAACACCAAAAGATAAACCAATAATACGTAGTTCACCGAATAAAGGGGAGTAGTAAAGCGCAGTGTGTGTACGCGCGTATGTGCTTGTGATAAAACGTGCGTCAGATAATATTATAGGTCACTCAGTGCCAAAGATAATTTCGTAATGTTAGGGTATGTAATTAGCGGCAGAAATCGTAAACGTGAGTCTTTAGATCAATTCCGAGCTTGAGAAGGAAGTTCGAAGTAAACGAAAACCCATTTGAAGTAGCTTTTTCGGAAGCTCTGTGATAATTTAATTTGTTCTTCCAAGCTACGATACGGCATAGTCTGTTTTAATAAAGGTTGTTTCCGACGCAACTTGACAACGCAAATTGAACTTGTTGACACTTAATTCAAATGGGAAACGACACAAACGATAATTGATTCGGGGCTTGTGATTCCAATGGATAACGCGTTCGAAAAGCATCCAATTGGTACTTACCTAATGGGTATTATTTAATAGGTTAAGGTTACATGTCTCACCTTAAAATCACCTCGATGCTCTAGTTCTAGGCGACAATGAAGGATTCTGAAATTTGTTTATAACAATCATCAACATGTGTGTACGATATTAGATGGGTATGACGAAATGAGTCCTGCTCCTAAAAATGTAGAAGAAATGTATTTACTTCATTATTTTCATTGTCCTGAGCGCTATTTCCGGAAGCTTTACTGAACATTGGCACAGAGGGTAGCCGACGTTAAGCCTATATAAAAAGTAAAACGATCCTAGTTAGGTTTATTCTACAAGATAAATTGTAGGTTATTTTTGTTTTCACTTGGACCTTTCGTTCCAACTCAGAAAGTAACATTAAATAACTTACAACAATAGATTAAATTGACAATCATTTTGCAATCTGATTTAAGTGGTAAGACGTACTAATTCCCTGCAATCTGAAAGTTCAAAAACAAAGCTAAGCAGAGCAGCGAAAGCGGCGTTACCGTGACCCAAACGGTCCCGATGCTTAATGTAAAGGACATGGGTACTCTTTCGAGCAGCCCTTCACCCGGCTGATGTGGGTAAAGCATTCTAAAGAAAAGGCTCTGAAATGGTGGCCTGGGTGATAAAGCGATTATTATGATTTCGCGCAGCAATAAAACTTATAATGAACGGAGCACTTAAGGACACAAGAATGAAGAAAAAATAGCTTAACCCATAGCCTATAACGATGATTGGAAACTTTTTATAGCAAAGTGAGATTGACGGCTTGCTTAACTGAACTATCTATCTTTCTTAATTTCAATAGTTACCCGACAATCGGTAAATTTTCTCTTCTCTGTCGGATTACCGTTTCAAAAGCATTCGTAGTATCAGCAGGTATTAACCAGAAGGTCGACCTCTCGGATTTACCCCTCCAACCCATAAGCCAAGGAGCCAATATCATGCTGCCTTATTCTTTAATACAAAATGTAGATTGTACCTCAATTAAATACTAATTGTAACAAATATATAGTGGAGGATAGAAGCAATCCCTGCACCTGGGATCGGCGAGGCAGACAAAGTGCAATATTTGTAACATTTATCCTTTTTCGTTTATTAGCCATGCACTGCGCAACTGGACAACAACAGCAGTATTTAAGTGTTCGACAAGATTCGATATAAGACAATATTTTACTTCAAACCTGGCTCGCTTCTTTGACCATTCACGTAACGAAAAGCATCGGCTGCCGTAATCGTACTTGAAATGATTGTCCTTTACCTTTAGTTCTATAATAGAAACATAAGCGATTCTCAGAAAATCCTTTATATTATTATGCGATCTTGGCCAAATAATGGCAGAACGCCAATTTCTTACACTGTTAAAGCACAGAATGGCCAACCCATGCTTCTTCTTGCGTTGCACAAAAGATATGCTTTATTTAACGAGTAGGATAAGTTATCGTATTTTGACTACTCCATGTTGGAAGCCAAGTACGATGTGAAGCAACTGTGAGGCAGTGCCGTAGCCCTGATGCAGCGAAGGTGACAAGCCTGGTTAGCGCATCGTAAGTGTTTAAATGGTTCCAAAGGGCTCGACACTTGTTGCAGCTTCAGCCACATTTGTATGTCGTCGCCGACGACAGTGACGTAGGCGGAACTGCGTCTAACGGCCTAACGGCAGCTGCATCACAGCAACGTTCTTCCTTGCGTTCGTTCGTTCGTCCGCCAGCTTGACTGCCCTGCATGCATAGCTCTCAGTTGTCTCGGGCTTCTTCGCTTCGTAAAACTCATACCCGATATATTTTTTATACTCGTCTTTGCGCGAAGCTTCGAATACCCGCCCCATGTGGCATCGTCTGGCTTCATATAGATTCTCCTCACAGAGGCAGTCTCTGTTTCTCTCTCGTTCGTCTTTCTCTGTCTTTCCCTATGTCACCGCTCGACAGTTGAAGAAGGAGGCTCGTAAGCTGCTGGGGGATCGTTCGCTTGCCGGACTGCGTGACAAAAGGGGTGGGTAAGCGAGTCTCTCTCTATGAGAGGGGTGCACACAGGGCGCCTTCGTAGCCGACGGGGTCGACCGAGCATTGGGGAGGAAATAGTATAGCCTGCAATGAGCTAGCAAGCCCTGGTTACTATCGGCGTCTTCGGTACGTCCTGTCCACTGCGCCTTCATACCAATGTCCATCCTTATCCTCTCGCCCCTCCGGGCTCGACAAAACATAGGGCTATGTCTAGCACTGTGAGGAGTTTTAATTCCAACCGTCCCTAAGACTTGCACTGTACTGCATAGGAACACCTCGACGAGTACGGTGTCCGTCTGGGGGGTTAGCACCAACTAACGGAGGTAGAGATTCTCTCTAGCAATGCAACATACGACGCTACGAAGTTTTGCTTGAAAAGCATAGGAAATAATGTTGTCGCATTAGACGTAGGGGGAGGCCATGACCAAAGAGATGAAAATAGTATAGCCGACGAAAGGGGAGGAGACGAGCGGTGAAATGTTCGATTTCTGAACTATTCGCATATGCAGGCACAGGGCACCAAACAATTCTTTGGATAGATGAAGAAAAAGCAGAAGACTACGCTGCATGTCTGCTATACTTACAAAAGATTATTCTGTCTTAATGCCATTCTTATGAATATGCGTTATAAAGGCAAGTGCTGCTCAAGCGTTATATGTATTTGGTAATCATCATATATGGAAAATTCAATGAACTCGCAAGTTGATGTCGGCGTAAATTGTTATTAGTTTGTATGGAACACAGAGAGATAAAAGAGCTGATGCAAATAGTTGGATATTTACTTGGCAGACGACAAAAATACAGTCGGTACAATTCTGTCTGTTTAACAAGACCTTTGTTTTTTCCATATGTATTGTAAACAATCAAAGAAAATAGTGCGGAGATGGATAAATCGAGAGTAGTTATTACAGATTAGTTTAGAATTGAGCATATATACTTGGTTATCGAAAAAATCGTGAACGTTTTGAAGCCAATATTAGAGCAAATATATCTATATTTTAAAAATAATATGACTAAACGAAATACGCGCAATTTCAATCGATACTCTTCTCTCATCGTTCTCTAGTAATACGTTACGCCATCGTTGTATAATTTCTGTATGTGTAAAGTAATTACGGCAATTGATCTTTGCAACTCTACATTGGGACGAAATTGACACCATCAAGGAAGTTTGTGGAGGATATCCGGAGGATACGTTAAAATTTCCTATTTGAATTACCTCCATTTTTGCCGGATGGCTACAGATAGGCACGTGATCTGGCACTGTCATGGCGAAGATCGATAACTTCTCTGCCCATTAAGAGACTTGCTCGATTTTAAACAACAGCTCGTTATAATATTGTTATGTGTTCACAGTGAAAATTCAATGAATTAATTGTTTTGCGAGGCGGCGGCCTCATATTGCACGGTCTCTCCAGGCCCACGAAACACATTGCGTCCTCTTGTTCAGCGCCAATCTAAGCTTTGTTACAGATTGCGCAGTACATCTTCATGCACATTTGCACACTGTTGTCGTGTGTGACTTACTACTCTTCATCAGCTCGGATCAGCTGTCCTAGAAACGGCTCAATTTTGTTGCGTGTCTTTGAACTTTCGCAAATGGAGGAAAGATCGAGTGTTGGCTCTCGGACGTGGAGTCTTTGTTGTTTGGAAATTGCTTGGTACTAGATGCTTAGCTTTCCGGTGATATGGTGGCTACTCACGCGTTAGACCTGCTCAGTTTTCACAATAATTCCATCGCCTCTTTTTTGGTGATCGGTTGACGACTCCGAAGAGCATCCTTTACAGTGGGTGAACTCCCTGAACGAACCATCTTGAGAGTAGTTCTTTCGATAACGCATTTTAATTATAAATAGCGTAAACATTTGTAACTTTATAGTAGTAAAATTGTAAAGTGAACGAACCTCTTTGCAGAAATGCTGGTCAAAGGAGCAGGCGAATTGTCAGTATGCCTCTATTTACGCGAAGTCTGAATGCAGACGTTTCAACAATCTTCGCACATCTGCTTCGGCTAGATCTCAGTGTTTAAATGAAACCGACTTCAACATCACGAGATTTTTATTACTTAAAATTCCGCTTTTCAAGCCACTTAAGAAGAAAAATGGTCAGTTCTTTTTTGACAATCTACCTCGGCAGGATTCATTGTACATATGATGCATCTTAGCGTTACTACTATACTGAATAAGTAAAAACGTTGGTTAACATCAAATACTAAAATACAAGATGCCCGCTACTTGATGTGTCATTCTAACTGAATATAGAATCTGACCACGATCAAACGCTGTACACACTGACACCGTGATCTAGGTTAACTAGGCCTGGTCTGATAGAATAGAAAATTGCGTTACAAGGTAAAGTTGTTCTTAGATGTGACTTCAACGGTCCGAGAAGTCTACAAGTGAGCTCATCTATTTATTTTCATTCTGTCTATTTAACAATCAATAACCTCGCATTGTGGTGTGTGGCGAAAATGATCGATGTCAAGAAAACGACGCTTAAATTTCTGGAACTCACTTTTTCCATCCATAGTGAATTTCAGTCATTTTAAATCGACGTTTACCAGTACATATATGATGTTGTTTTTTTTTTTTGAAGAGTAGAGAGGTCCATAATCTGATAGATCGTTCCAAAAAAATCGTCCGAGAGCTTTCTCAGTTGGTTACAACTTAACTAGACTGCTAAATGTAAAAGCATCGGTTTATATGTATGTACATCAATTAACTTTGCAACGATTTCCAATTTGCCTTGTCTTCATTATAGCGGCGAGAGTAGGAAAAGCGGCTGAAATGTTCGGATTTGATTAGTTTATTGTTGCCCTGCTTCAAAGTCAAGTGTAACCTGCCATTTATACAGATTTCGTTCATGCCTTACATGCTCCCGCAGGTATTTGCAAGAGATTCGGAAAAGGCGTCCTTTGGGGTGACTTTTGCATTAAAAGAATAGAAAAATAAAATATAACGAGCGCTTTCTCCGAACGCGTTATACCTTAAGTAGCATTCGACAAAATTGCTCTCGTGCCTGAAATCTTGTTTCCACTATTCTTCGTTAGAGAAGAATCAAAATATATTCTTCGTGGCATAGTAGGATAATCAATATATATTGTAATTATATATAATTATTATTGATCACTATTCACACGGGATTCGGGTAAGACTTAAAGTTTCGAATAGAACAAGATTAAATATTGGCTTGTGGCTATTGTTACACGATCTGCGTTGCAGCGAAAAACTCTCCTTAGTACTCCCTTTTTCACAAATGATCTGTGTTATATATACGCGCTGGACCCTACGCGATCCGAGTTCGGATCCGCTCGCCCGGAATGTCGCTGGAATGCTTCTAATATCTTGTTGCACTTCCTCTGTAATACCGTTATAGTGGACCTCGTTGTTGTCTTTTGTTACAGCTTTCTAACGGCCCTATTTCGGGAAGTCCATAACATTTTTCTAGTTATTCTATTACCTAGCTTCGATATCTAATTGCCCCGCTGTAGCAATTTTAGCGCATTGTCAGTCTTTCCTTTTTTTTTTTCAATTCATTTTCTAGGAAGCAGGTGCATATCTGAATATGTGCAGGTACAAAAATTTAATAACCATTATTGTTATCAAATTTTAACTCAATAATAATAATGGTATAATAATAAGTAATAAAATGAATTAGAAAATATATATTCAACAGATACAATAGGTCGTGTTTCTTAATTGCGTTTTATATCTTCCACAGCATTACTTTGTGTAAACATCGGTTTCAACAAAGCAGATCGTTAGAAGAAATCATTTATTTACCGTCTCCTTGGACTCTGCCTCTTCTGTAGTCGATGCTAATGTTGAGCCAACTAAAATTAAATACTGCAGAAAGATAGATAGTTCATTTTTGCGAAACGGTTCTGAACGTAGCTGTCCAGAGCATTCGATAAGCAAAAAATTACGAAGTTGGCCCAGAGAAGATGCATTACAGAATGTAAGCAAATATGAAACGCGTGTCGTCTGCTCAAAATCAGGTCCGCCATAGAGAGGTTTATTCTCCCTAGCTCGATCACACTTAACTTAGTGGGTAACGTATTTGCCTGTATAACGGTGATACCCGACGTGAAACTCGAAACATAGATAAGCAATAGGCACAACTCATTGATAGCCCAGTGGGTAACGTGTTTGCATACTTGTGTTAGAGGCGCGTGGTGGTAGTTTGGGTTCGAATCCGGACGCTGACGCCCTTTGCTTTGCGGTAGAAACCAGCCGGCTAATAGAATTCCTAGCGGCCGTGTGGAAAGTCTGTGATGGAAACAGTTTATATTTCTGGCGTTATTAGTATCAACTCATAGAGGCAGTGCAATGGATTACAAAATGCCGAATGGAAGGGTGGTCTTCGACGTCCATAGTAGCTACACTATTTTTTGTAGTAATTTCGCGCGTCACGCGAAAGAAAAAGAGCTCGTGAAGAAACTCTTCGATAATATTAATGGATATCGATAAATTCTAAATTGAAGTAAATAGGTGAATTATATTATAGTAATTCGATTCGCCCCTTGAATATACAGAAAACCCCCCGATAGTACATTTTTTAAACTAACGGAGAACTTTATCATTTCGATTTTTGCCATAAATGTTCGCTTATTTTGTGTGTGTGAATGCATCTCAGTAGGGTTTAAATATATAGTGTCTTAACGTATTTTTTGCTACATCAAGTAGCTAAAACTTCCATGTGGGCCAAAGTGCAATTTCCACGGGGATACTGCTTATCGTAGATTGCATGTGATACAGGTAAATTTTTGGAAACACGTCTTGCTGTGTTACCTTTCCCGCCGACTGCTCTGAAAGCGAAGTCTCAACCCTAACCCGTGTTAGCCTCTACGAATGTAATCGGCAACAGTCCACTTCTTACGTGAGTAAAAACGCGACAGTGGGCTCTGCGTTAAGGAGAAACCTGAAGGGGCTGCTCAGTACGGAGAGATTCGCAGTACCGTGTGCTATTGTTGCACTTAAATGAGAAAAGCCGGCAAAAGAGAACGACTATGAGAGAACGCCATGATCGAAATTGAGTAGACGCTTGGATACACACGATCACAGCATGCACGTGAGAGGCTGCGACCTCAATCATCACGTTTCCATAGCTTCACGTAACGTTAGCAGACGAAAAACGAGTGAGTTTCTGACAGCAGTTTCCGACAGCTTCGTGTCAGCTATTTACGAAGCTATATAGCCCTATTTATCTAACTTACGTTCATATAACAAGCATAGCTGCTAGATATGTTGAACACGCTCTCTACACACTAACTGAATATTGCCAGTTCCTAGAACTTTAAACGGTGAACGGATTCTGCCTTCTGCGAATTCCAGAGTTCTTCCAGAAGCCCCACTATGTCGATACCGTTGCACAGACTAACTAGCGCCGCCTGGCGAGGCTTTGGTAAAAGAGGGAGACCACTCCACTTCCCCCGCTAGCATGGCCGGCAAATTCCCCACAGTCCACCTTCCCTCTACGCTTATCCCTATCCCTATTTCCGCTGCTGCCACTGCCGCCGCGTCGATGTTACAGTGTGGCTGTTGGAGCGGCGGACAGCAGTCGGCCGTCTCCTGTTCGCTCGTTCAGACCGGGGTAGTTTGCGACATTGCCTCGTACAGGGCTAAAGGCGATGTCGAAACTTTGCGAGCTAGAGAGTGAGCCTTCCCCTTTCCACTACCCCTCTGAGCGGAGCGGATCGCGAGAGTGGTCAGAAGCACTGTCGGAAAACTCTGGAATACTTCCTGGCTGCTTTGCCTTGCTCTGGCCTTACTCAGCTGGCCTGTCTGTTTAGTGCGCTCGCCGCCAACTTCGCTTCGTCGCGAGCTGGGGTAGTTTGCTGCCTCTCTACGTTGGATTATATCGGCAGCCTAGCTCCGGCCCATGGCTGCCATTAGGAATAGCAAGATTTTTTGCGGAGCAGAAGCTTATGGCGAGAACACTGTAGCTTTTTTCGAACCATTATCCGTCTCGAGATGATGATATATGACTGAACATTTCAAACTGTTGATGATATTCGTCAGGGACCTCAGGAAATCAGATTTTGTTTTACTATTAATTCAATATATATTTATGTACACAACATGGCTTCTGTACGGCCATGCGATTATAGTTTTAACGTATACGAGATCGCAACACGTGATAAATGATAATAAAGATATAAAAAGTATATATATATATATATATATATATATATATAAGAGAGAGAGAGAGAGAGAGAGAGAGAGGGGGGGAGAGAGAGAGAGATTCGCAATCAGGATTTTGTTATCCTGCACGCATAGGCAAACATCGAAATGTACCATAGCTAGTGTTAAAATTCAATGGTCAAAACGATTTGAGAACTGGTGCAAGAGGAAGTTCGCCTGAAGTACAAAGGAACGAACATATAAATAATAAACGTTTTCTGTGATATGTCTTGCTCTCATTAAGGCAACGGTAGCAAAACAGTGTGAAGTTTTTAGGACCAAATGGTACACATGATAGAAGAGATATTTTATGATTTATCTGTGCGACAAAGCAAAAATTGTTTTTTCACTCGTTAGATTTTTTTTATAAAACTAGGAAACTACCAATTATGGCGCAATTGTTTTCAATCTGTATCGAAGATTGTAGGGTCTAGGTGATGAGATGTGAAGAACTAAATAAAACGCCACCAATCGGCCTCAGAACCCTTTTCGATTTTAATAATTTCGATTATTAATATCTAAACTTCTTTGTGAAAAGTGGATACGAAATCAATTTCATCTTTGATTGAACTACTTTTTCCCTAAAATTGGCAATTTTCTCATTTTTAAAATTCTATTATATTTTAGTCCTTTACTTGATCGCTGCTGTTCACAGTAACGCCTTCGTTAACGCTAGTTAATCCAACATTTATATAGATAATTTGAGTGAAATTACACTGCCTATTATTTTTTATTTATGTCCGATTGTACTTTGGAGGACATTTTTTTAATTTTTTCCACTTGTTCGCAACTATTTAGAACTTATAAAAATGATGGATGTTTCTTAAGATTTCAAAGTGTATTTAGTATTTTTTGTAAGCACAACGGAAACCTACACCGCGCTATTGTTTGGGTCTCGAATACAGAAGGAAAATACGTAAGGATATTATTAAGAAAAGGACCTAAAATAAATCTTGATATACATCACAGTAATAATTCGGTGCAGTCGTGGAAATGGGTATACTTCAAAGTAGGTAACAGGAACAAATGAAATAATCGATTAAACCTAATAACATCAACCTCAGAAAATCCGCCTGATATTTTTCGTTCAGACTTGAGAAAACTACTGAACGACATATATTTCATGTTTCCTTTAATCCAGTTAAAAACATCCAGGTAACTGCCAAGCTGTCAAAAACAATAGCAAGTAAAATAAATTTGGCAGACTATTTGCGGAGGTAGTATGTCTGTTCATGTGCGCACAGTATTTCCTTGAGTCTTGCTGTGTTGTTTATAAATTGAAATACTGACTATATAATGATGCGATACGTGTGAGCTTAGCCGAAAACTCCGAACAAGTTACAGGACTTTCAACCAGATCAATTCAACATAGAATATTTTAATTACTTAAATGTTTTAATTTATTTTGCCTAAATTACTATTATTTTTATTTTTTGACTATTTGCCCTTAATTGACAACTTTTATTTAGACCAATTTAACCCAGTAAACCAAATTGGGTAAAAATACGATATGTTATCACTTTCCCTTGTGAACAAACCTTAGACGTGAATGTTCCGCAAGAAACCTTACCAAAGACTACCGAAACCTGTACCATAGTAAATATATCATAACATAGGTTTCATCTTTTAATTGTGCTAAATATATTAAAAAATGTTCATAAAAAAAAAGTTCATTTGACTTAACAGATCGTAGGAAACTTAATCTTACAACTCAAATAGGTCAGATGTTTCATGCTATTGATACATAATGGAGAGTTTAGCGTTTTAAGAAGGTACCCAATTATTTATAATTTTTTAAAAACCATACTCCATGTATCCAGTATTTAAGCTTACGGTGTTCGCTGAATTTATGGTTCAACTGAACCGATCCTAAAAAACTGTTCTACGAGGTGTAACCGTAAGTATCCTACTAAATGGTCTTAGCGGCAACTGACCAGTGCGAAGTTATCGAATCTTGTTTCCATACTTGATTTCGAATTCAAACTTTATTGCTCAGCATTACGTCATGTTTAGCCCAAACCTAATCTCTGTCATGTCACTCGTTTGCAGAAACATAGACCTCACTCGCGTTCGTGTAAATCCTTCGGAATAAATATAGTATGTATACCTTTATTGGATCGCCAGCGGAGGTTGAATTCACTAAACTCTACAGGGGTAAGGTCACTTAATGTAGCATGGGGATTCTTATGCTAGCCAGTGTACTTGTATGTATATATATATATATATATATATATATGTATACTTGTATGTAGAGTAGTATGTAGGGAGCACCGGTAAGGTAATGTCTACAGGAACACGTAATAGCCAATTTGAAACTTGTCCTTCTAACGTGACTACACTAAATTAGAAGCGGTCTTAAGCCATTACGAAGATTATTTGATCGTAGTACAAGTAGTTGATAGTCTTCATGTTAATTATCAGATTTTTTATAAACTTAAAAATTTGTTTTCTATTTTGCTTTTACATAAATCCAAGAAAAATATTCGGTCAGGTATGAATATTGTACGACCTTAGCATATTCTAATGTCCTTTTCTCTTTCTGCAGCAGTGATAAAAATGTAGTTAACGAACATAACCTATATAAACAAAAACACTAGTTAATTCATTTCTAATAGATCATTCAAGTTAGCAGATAATTCTGTCCACTGACTTAGTCCGCGACACTTTCCCGCTTCTGATTGGTATCTCAGTTCCTGTTGACCTTGCCGTTCCTATTAATGCGTTACCCTTGTCATCCTAAAGTTATAGGATCACGCTAGGTGCTGGTCCTACACAGGTTCGTCCATCAGGTAAAGGACCGCAGCTGCGGCGAGTTATCCGCACAGCTGGCTGACGTCATCCGAAAATGAATCATAATGCAATGGCAATATTAGCAGGAGTTGAAGAAGATGACGTCGGCGAGTTGGGATAGTGATAGGGCAAAGCTTCTGCTGTTTCCAAATAGGGGCACTTTCATTGCTGACTCCATTAGTGATCCTCGTGACCCTTGCCGACCCAACACCAAACTTTGCACTGGGACCGAAATGTCCAATGTCAGTACCCAACGCGAACGGATGAACGGCCAAAAGGGCTTGCTCGTGCTTTTACTAACAACTATTGCTGTTCCTTCTTCATCTTCGTATGCGCGCTCCTTGTTTCTGATCTTTTTTTTGCTGCGAAACTGTCGCTAGCCTTGCAACCGGGACAAATTTGCCGGTGGAACCGACAGCCAGCCGCCCAACTGGTTTTGCGCTTTGCTCCCTGTACTTTCTCACTGTAAAAGTATGTATCCGATATGCCGGCTTCTTTTTCTCGCCTCACAGGGCTGCCTTTTGCTTTTTGCTCGATCGTGGTGCATGCAGTCGACGAGGGCCGACTGTAGTGTTCTGCACACTAATAATACACAGCTGTACCAGTTTTCGCTGTATAGCGCTACATTGGCTGGCAGCAGAGCGCTCTGTGGAGCAGCACCTTTGTGTGATCACAGAGAGGAACTGGCAGCACATTAGCTTTGGCTGTTATGCCCTTCACAGTACTCTATACTCATTTTAGCTGTAGTGAAAGAGGTAACAGCAGCAGCGACATCGACGGAACCAGGGATCGCATTTAGCTGAGGCAGCGCAGCCTGCAGGAGCCAAGGAACGCCGGTCAGTGGCTATGATAGCTAGAGCAACAGCAGACGGACAAAGGTGAGCTGGGCTTGCGAGACAGGCGCTAAAGAAACGTATTAAGTAAGCACAATACAGAACCCTGCCCAGCAGGACCAAGAATCAGGCAGCCCCCCTTGGGCTGGCTGATACCGCAACTCACCTTTGTAGCCTGGCTGCCCCCCAAAGATGCCTTCTTCTCCTAGTCGTTGGAAGCGAGTACCGACAAAGGCGACCAGCGACCGGGCTTGTGGGAAACGCTTCGGACTCGTAAAGGTGGCGACCTTACGTTGTTTCGTCAGCAAGGAGCTCCCGACGTTGCAGGAAAAAGCAGTTGTGGGGCAGCAGGATGGAAGAAGACAGAGAGGTTTCGAGGTGGAGACGGACACAAAACAATATATATATAACAAGGTACGGCACGGACTGAAGGCCTGACGATGTCAGACTACAGCAAAGCTAGAGGAACGCAAAGTTCAAAAAACGCAAAAAGGTACGTTGATGTTTAGCGTAGCTCGCGAACGACACGTAAAGAAATATAAGCACAGGTTAATAAAGGCGCGTGCAAGGCCAAAAATAGGTAGCAGTGGTAGCAAAATTAGCATCTGGGCCCTCTCGGCATGCGCGTGTAGAATATATTATGGCTGTACCTCTAGTCTCTATTAAGAAATGTAAAAAAATCACAATGGGTACGTACCGACCCACATTTGTGCTTTACCCACACTTACGATGTAGCTTTTTTAGGAAATATCATCCTAAAACGGACCTAGCAGCTTTTTTATAATACTGCATCACCCAAATTGTTGAAATGCTTCTTTTTCAAGCTCGCTTGTTTTGTCCTCTGAATCCTATTTAAAATCCTCTGTACACCGAGAGCACTCCATCTGTCCCTGCTTTCCCTTAGTTGGTTGGTATCTGACTTTTGTGAAGGGAGGTGACGATTGACAATTGCCCTGTGCTGCGTACGTGTATTATTCGCCGCTATCTCGGCATATCTGTAACGCTTAACTAGCTGAGTGAAAACGTTACACTGGATTACCAGAACGATGTCCGTAAGGCGCCTCTGAACCTTCCTTAAAATCTGCAAATGGACGCGCTTGCTTTGAGAACCGAACTTACTTTGCTTCGCGGGACTATTGCAATTGAACAGACAAACTGGACTGCATAAATCCAAAGGGCTGAGAGACAACAGGTTAGCCGAAAACGAGGGCGCAAGTATTTACCGGGACTGGCCAATACCGGGACTGGGTCTTGTCATACGCCGTACCGCGGTTAACAGAACGATTAGATTCGGATCTAGAATTGGAGGGCCGG